TAGGAGAATGATGTGATGGACAAGACCCAATCCTAAACATAGCACAAGATCGTATAGTTCGTTTGCTAGAGTTTTTCCAATGTCAAGTATCTTTTCCTTAGACCATGAGATCGTGTAACTCCTGGATACCGTAGGAGTGCTTTGGGTGTACCAAACGTCACAACGTAACTGGATGACTATAAAGGTTTACTACAAGTATCTCCGAAAGTGTCTGTTGGGTTGACATGGATCAAGACTGGGATTTGTCACTCCGTATGGCGGAGAGGTATCTCTGGGCCCACTCGGTAATGCATCATCATAATGAGCTCAAAGTGACCAAATGTCTGGTCATGGGATCATGCATTACGGTACGAGTAAAGTGACTTGCCGGTAACGAGATTGAACGAGGTATTGGGATACCGACGATCGAATCTCGGGCAAGTAACATACCGATTGACAAAGGGAATTATATATGGGGTTGCTTGAATCCTCGACATCGTGGTTCATCCGATGAGATCATCAAGGAGCATGTGGGAGCCAACATGGGTATCCAGATCCCGCTGTTGGTTGTTGACCGGAGAGCCGTCTCGGTCATGTCTACATGTCTCCCAAACCCGTAGGGTCTACACACTTAAGGTTCAATGACGCTAGGGTTGTAGAGATATGAGTATGCAGTAACCTGAAAGTTGTTCGGAGTCCCGGATGAGATCCCGGACGTCACGAGGAGTTCCGGAATGGTCCGGAGGTGAAGAATTATATATAGGAAGTGCAGATTCGGCCATCGGGAGAGTTTCGGGGGTCACCGGTATTGTACCGGGACCACCGGAAGGGTCCCGGGGGTCCACCGGGTGGGGCCACCCATCCCGGAGGGCCCCATGGGCTGAAGTGGGGAAGGGAACCTGCCCATAGTGGGCTGGTGCGCCCCCTCCTTTGGGCCCCCCATGCGCCTAGGGTTGGGAACCCTAGGGGAGGGGCGCCTCCACTTGCCTTGGGGGGCACTCCACCCCCTTGGCCGCCGCCCCCCTAGGATATCCCTTCTCCGAGGGCTGGCGCACCCCCCTAGGGGGCCTATATAAAGGAGGGGGGAGGGAGGGCAGCCGCACCTGAAGTCTTGGCGCCTCCCTCTCCCCTGCTACACCTCTCCCTCTCGCAGAAGCTCGGCGAAGCCCTGCTGCGATCACTGCTGCATCCACCACCACGCCGTCGTGCTGCTGGATCTCCGTCAACCTCTCCTCCCCCCTTGCTGGATCAAGAAGGAGGAGACGTCATCCGCTCCGTACGTGTGTTGAACGTGGAGGTGCCGTCCGTTCGGCGCTAGGATCTCTGGTGATTTGGATCACGACGAGTACGACTCCCTCAACCCCGTTCTCTTGAACGCTTCCGCTCGCGATCTACAAAGGTATGTAGATGCACTCCGATCACTCATTGCTAGATGAACTCATAGATAGATCTTGGTGAAACCGTAGATTTTTTTTGTTTTCTGCAACGTTCCCCAACAGCCGAGTCATAGGGGATCAGCCCCCCTTCGGCCAAGTCGTCGAGGTCTTCTTGGGAGATCCTCGAGTGGATCCAGTCGCCCTGGATCCAGCCCCTCGGCAGGCCAGACCGCGAGGAAGATCCGCCCCGGCTGGTCGCCTTCCCCTTCGACCTCGCCGTCGCCTTCTTGGCCCAGTCCAGAGCCGTTGTCTTCTCCTTCCCCATTGTCACCGGCGAAACGCGTGCGGTGCGGTGGCGCTAGGGCAAGAGCGAGGGCAGCGGAGGGGCGTGAGGAAGAGAAGAAGTAATGAGGTGCGCTGTTCGGGAGACTCCGGTCCGACGCTTTATATCAGGCCGCTCCCGAGTGGCTGACGGGTAGGCCCAGGTGGCTCTATGAAATCCCGTAACGACTGTGCGCGCGATACATGGCGAAAAAGGTGGCGCGGGGATCGAGGCGGCTCCGCTCTATCCCATCCGATTACTGCGGCCTTCCCTGTCCCGCGCGCTTCCCCAAAATTCGGATCCCACGAAATCTGCGCGCAGCAAACAACTTGTCAGACCAAAGATCTCGTCCACACCATCACTCGGAGCCTTACAAGTAAAGAAACCCACTCAACGAGGAATTAAGAATGGATCAAGGCGACTGAAAAGGAAGTTGCTGTCATCACTCAGGTCCGTTGGTCTGAACCTAGATATGCTCACGGCATGAAAAAAGAGTCAGAGAGGTTCTCAACTCCTTCCGCACTCAAACCTCGATCCATTCGGGGGCTAATGATGAAGCTATGTACCTAGGGTAGGGTCATGGACCTGTCCTACCTACCCTACCCAAGGACATCTCTAGAAGAAATCACCTTTCAATCAGCTTGAAGGTGTCCCACTCGACAGACTCGAAGACACTCGACCAAGAAGCAATCACTTGACGAAGACCAAACCACTCGACGGCCAGGAGACCTAAAGTCACTCCGCACGCTAACGGTCGGTCATTAAATAGCTTTTATGGTCATCATAGCACTTTATTACCAGCGTTACCAGTAACGCCCCGCCTTAATGTACATTGAACCCTTGGCAACGTGGGCTGGCCGGGGTCCTGGCGCACTCTATATAAGCCACCCCCTCCTCCGAGACAGGGGTTCGCACCTCTGTAACTCATACACACATAATTCAGTCGACCGCCTCCGGGCTCCGAGACGTAGGGCTATTACTTCCTCCGAGAGGGGCCTGAACTCGTAAACCTTGTGTGCTTACAACTTCTTCATAGCTAGGATCTAGCCTCTCCATACGTACCCCCCTACACTACTGTCAGACTTAGAACCACGACAGCTTGCGCATAGCACAGCAACAGTCGGAATTTTGAGTAGCAAAATCCTCAGGGCTATCATGTTCCTCACTGTGTAGGAAATCCGCACTGGCGAATTCCTAACTCCTCAGTCAGAACAAATTCCTCAGAGACCAGAAGAACTTCGTCTCTGTCGCTGAAGAATATGACTGGACTGTATGAGATTTCCAATGGCTTCACTCGAAGGGATTGTTAGGTGTAGAATTTTGAGTTGAGCATCACATGGAAATTTTTCCTTAGTATTTCCTCGACCCCCTTTAACAGTACGGTGTTTCCTATGACTCAAGAAAGAGAAAATGAAACTACGAAAACAAAAGTCTTCACGCTTCATGTTCCTTTAATGAATACCAAGTCTTCAAGGTCACACCAATTTCTTCACTTTCAAAGTCTTCAGAAAGTCTTCAGAAATCCAAAGTCTTCAGTCGAAGAACTTTATTTTTAGGGGTCGACTTTCTCTATAAATATCAAACTCCTCATAGACTTATAGACCTGTGTACACTCACAAACGCATTAGTCCCTTAACTTATAAGTCTTCAATACACCAAAATCACTAAGGGGCACTAGATGCACTTACAATTACACGCATGCACAAGATTGCAGCAAAGAGTCACGAGTGTGACCAATTAAACCTATACAGCAAGTATTAAAAAGTTGCTAGTACGAAGAAACATCATCTATTTTTGCTTTGATTACTGTTGGTGGCCTCATATTGATGCAAAATGTATTTTTGATAATGGCCTTGTATAAGGGAATGGAGGGAGTAGCAAAATTCACAACGAAACACGTCAACTACTACTACAATTGCGAAACCTGTAGTTCGAGGATATATTTGCCCCAAAATTCACTAGTAAAATCCAAACCCTGTAACTTTCAAGACCTCTTTTTTCCTTAATTTATTTTTCTACCACAAAAGAAACATGAGTTGCCTGCATTTTTTTCTACGTGGTTGCCTACACAACTTTCCCAAAAGCTTTGACAAGATTGAAGATCAGCTAAAAAACAACAACGTCGGGCAACCTACAACACTCTGTAGATGCTTAAAATCCAAGCATAAACTAGAATAGTAATTTCAAGAGAGGGGTTTCCCTGTGTTTCCACCAAGAGTTGCCTAGAAATCATTCCAGACTTGCCTTCACATCATTCCAACTTGCCCAAAAAACACATTATTTTGCATGCATAATGCCTCAGTAGTTCTTTTTTGCAGTTTCAAAAGCATTAACTGCCATGTTGTTGTATATTCCCTCATTGATAAACCCTTCGTTCCATAGGCTTTTGTAAAAGTGAAGGTGTTTGAGAGGGCACATCAAGATAGAAGCTCACCTCTCAGGTCCATGGCCTCCAAAATGGGGGCAATAGTTGTGGCAATGGAGGAGAGGACAGATGGAGAAGGGCATGCCAAGGGGGAGGTTTGGGAGTCTGCGACTGGGAAGGGGAAGGAGGATTTGCTGCATCGGCGTGACCAGCAGTTACGATTGTGACAGACTCGTCCCTGGGGGCCATGTGCGTGAGGCATTTCTTTCCTTTTTTGGTTTGCTAGCTCTATCCAGAGAGACTCGTCCTTGGGGGCCATGTGCATGTAGATTGATAGATTGAAGGGGCAGATCTGTTCGTGTTCTCAGTCAATTAATTCCTTATTAAGCCGTATAGGCTCGTATGCATGATTTCTCTGGTAGTTCGTCCGCTCCTGCGTGATAGATTTGCGTAACTCTTTATCATTGAATAAAATGGTAGCCGCATAATCTGCCTCGTGATCATATTCTTGTTCTACCGAGATAGTCCTAACCTAGGCTTAGGGTTGTTAGTTGATTTTCCTCTGAAAAAGGTAGGCTTCTTCCTTTGCCTGATATAAGCATGTCCGACTGCTATGTGGAACCCTTGAGATAATTAATTTTCAGTTTTTTTGGTGCATCTGCATGCACGTACCGTCTGTTACGTTCTGATTATTATCTACCATCTGTAGATTGATTGTTCTTGGAAGTAAATTATGTCTGACACCTACGTGGAATCATAATCTTTAGTTTTTTGTGGTCACGAGCATGCACAAACTGTATGTTAGTTTCTCTCTTAAGTCAAAAAATATGCTACTGCTGTTTGTGTAATCTCTACGGCGTGATATAGAAGCTTTATCTATGTTTTAATATTTGTCATATTAGTTTGCTCGGTCTGCTTCTTGAGCCTAACCATTCTGTTTTGGGATTCTTCTTTGCAGATGCAGATCTTCGTGAAGACCCTCGCCGGAAAGACCATCACCCTCGAGGTTGAGAGCTCTGACACCATCGACAATGTCAAGGCCAAGATCCAGGACAAGGAGGGCATTCCTCCAGACCAGCAGCGTCTCATCTTCGCTGGCAAGCAGCTGGAGGATGGTCGCACCCTCGCTGACTACAACATCCGGAAGGAGTCCACCCTCCACCTTGTCCTCTGCCTTCGGGGAGGCATGCAGATCTTTGTGAAGACCCTCACTAGCAAGACCAT